CCTTTTTTTCAGCGTCCCAGTCTCGGGTTGCACCCCGATCCGGTTCAATGACAAAGCCCGCCAAGATTGACCATTGTCGTACAAGGATCGCACACCACGTCGTGCAGCAGATACGTCTCACATGAGCAACACGCACCCACGTTGAGAGAGGCTGCCTGAATCAATGGCGCAGCGAGGCTGCATGCATTACCATGTCCCATTCAAACTGAACATCCCCTCCCCATGTCTAAGCGTGAGAATATCTCGGCAAATATGAACCCAAAAAAGTGCCTTGCATCTGCTCTTGTCCTTTCAAGAAATCTTTTTGTCCCGCAAACCAAGCACGTCCCTTTTTCTTTACCACTGTCATCATTCAATACTAATCTCCCATGTACAATATCACCCATAGTGCTCGCTCGACGCTGTCCTTTTTTTTCCCTTTGTGTCGCTCCGAATCATCATGAATAATATGACTACCGATGTAATAAGAGGCGTCTAGTTTGCCCACACCCTCACTATCTGGTCCACACCGCCCGTTGCAATGACGCAGCGAATCTGCACATGCTCCGTCTCTAGCTTCTTAACGGCACCGCCGTCGACCGCCTCGCCGTGGCCGGCGGAGCCTCCGTTGGTGGCCGGCGCGTCCTTTGAGATGCTGGGGGCCCATCGCAGACACTTGACAAAGCGGTCGTGTGCCTCGGATATCGTCTTGACGCACTTGGCCTCTTGCGCGAGATCCCAGCAGCGTATCGACTTGTCGTCGGCCGCCGAGAGCAGGTACTTGCCACTGGGGTGGAATACGAGTGCGGTGATCCAGTTGTCGTGTCCGATGAGCACCTTGAGACACGTGCCCCGCGAGTCCCACAGGCGAATCGTCTTGTCGCGCGAGCCTGTCGCGATAAACTCGGCCGGGCTTGTCAGAGGCGGTGGCTTCTTGAGGCCGGCAATCGAGGCCAGGTGCTGATAGGCAGACGGCGGGGCGAAAGCGCAACATTGCACAACGTGTTCGTGGCCAACCATGGTGGCCTTGGTCTCAGGGTTCGGAAGAGTGAGGTCCCATAACCTGCCCATGTGATCCGCACTTGTTGAAATCAGATAGTTGCCATCCGGTGAGGGACATACATCTCTGACCCAGCCGGCATGGCCAGATAACGTCTTGACGCAGTATCCTGTCGTTGTGTCCCAAATCTTGAGTGTCTTGTCACCACTGGCGCTCACAAGCATGTTACCAGAGGCGAACACACCCGCTGACCCTGATGGAATATACCGGACTGCACTGACACTGTGGTCGTGGCCGGAGAGTGTTCGAATATTTTTATAGCCATCTGCGGGGTCCCAGAGTTTAATCGTCAAGTCGGAACTGCACGACGCCAACAGGATAGCCGTCTTGGGCCCGCCATAGTCGAGATCCAGTACAGCTCTGGTGTGGCCCTTGATGGTTTGCTCTGCCTCGCCGAGCTCCCAGTCCCAAATCTTGATTGTGCAGTCGTCGGACCCCGACGCCAGCGATGTGAACTTGGGGTGGAACGCCACACAGTTGACGGGATCACGGTGACCCTCCATGCTGTGTCGTGCCGGGGCGCGTGGCAGCCAGGACGCGGGATCGGTATTCCTTTTCGAGATGGACGTTGGGGTGGCATTGTCAAGCTCGGACTGTAAATGTGCGTTTCTCGTTTCTAGCTCCATAATCTAAGCGTCGTCAGCAACTGATTCCTATGCGAAAGATGCTCCATCGCAAGTCTCTATACCTTTTTCTGTAACCGCACAATACTCGTCCACTTCTTCTCGAGCAGCGACTCGTACTTTTTGGCCGTGGCCGGTTCGTATACATCCTCACCGAGCGACAGCTCCTGCCGGAGGGCTGCCGCGCTGCTTTGGAGGTTGTTGGCCGCGAGGTACGCAATGATGGACTTGTGTCTAAACGCAAAAATGTGTTGGTTAGCAAGCTTGGGCTCCATCCATCCGATGTCCAAACGGGGATGACCTGATCATGCACGAACAATTCTTCGGCCTGCCGCGCAGGCAAGGTACGGCTCATTGTGGCGGTGTGCTGCCGCAGCCCTCTGACGAGTTTGTTGCACGGGTGTCGGCGCGAGAGCGATCGGTTACTTCTGTCGTGAGGGCCCGGATTCTGCCAGAGGTCACCCTGCGAGACAATTCGCGCATGGATTCGCGTGCTGTCCCCCCTGTTTCTGTGGTGTCGGTCGTCGTGGAAAGCGGTCAAGGAGGGGCTGCCCGCGCGGAGTGGAGGAGGGGTGGAGGGACGGTAGTGCCGAATCTGGGACGTAATGCGGTTCAGAAGCTGGCGAGGGGTGGCGCCGAGAGTCTGCTGTTGGACTGCAAGGTTTTGTCGAGGTGAATGGCTATTATTCTCATATGACAGTTGATAGGGCTGGGACAAAAAGCGGCTTGGTTTGTCGATGATCCATAGTATCGCCAGTGCTCAATACCCGCCCGTGGTCCCGTCATCACTGTCCCACTAAGCTGGCTCAACCCGTTGCCTTGGGCTGCAGGTCACGTGTACTCTTGTCAACACATCGTCTTGTTGTAGAGACTTTCCACATCTTGGTTCTAGAAGCAAATAAACCTTCTTAAAGACGAAGGAGCAATAAGATATCCGAGTGTTTAATAAAATACCATTGATGATGAACGTAGGTACCGGGCTGATGGCGCTTATTGGCTGCATGCTAGGCCCCACCTCGACACCCCATCACGATCACGGCAAGCCTTTTGGTCCACATAGCAAGCGCAGATAGCATCAACACCATCACCATCACCATCCTAGAACCGGACACTCGTTGCGATGAAATGCTCGCCCTCATTTCCTTTCCCCATAACAGTTGATTCAGCAATGGTACAGTAGCCGAGACGGGCAAAGCGCCTTCAAAACGTCGCAATGACCAGACAGAAAACGCTTTCTTCAGATTCAGTTTAATCAATCTTCCGGCGGCCACAGAACAGTAGCTATGCCTACGATCATCCAAGCCTAATACCTGCTCAAGCCAGTCCCAACATACTCGCACAAACTCACGTATTGTACCGCCATCCCCTCTTCACACCCGGGTGCGGAGTCCACCCTTCGGCCTCGTCCAACCTCTTATTCAGAATCCGCGCCCGCCAGCGCACCGCAAGTGCCGACACCACGACCAGCGCGCACCCCATGAGCAGCAGCCCGCCGCCCATGCGGTAGTAAGGCTCCTGGCTCGTCGGGTAAAAGTACGGGCTGAACCAGTGGCTCACCTGGCTGATGCAGTCGGCCAAGGCGATAAGCGCCGCCTTCTTGGCCCGCGGCGCCGGCACCACCGTCGTCTCCCACGACAGCTGCAGGTTCAGCCCGCTGTACGTGCCCGCAATAAGCAGCACCAGCCCAAAATACCGAGCACCCACGTTGAGCGTCCCGATCAACACCCCGCAGCCGGCGGCCGAGGCGAGGATGGGCACAATGACGTGAAAGGTCGACTCTTGGAAGCGCCCGCACGAGTAGGCCACCAGACAGGCAAATACGTAGGCAATGGCGTACGGCGGTGTCTGTACGAGGTAGGTTGTTGTCTTGTCAAACTTGAACGTCTTTATAATCTGTAGCCTGAGTTAGCCAATGGACACCACCGTGTGATTGTATGGAAGACTCACAGAGGGAAGAAAGTCTTTGAAGCTCTGCGCCGTTACCAGAGCGAAATGCATCAGGCAAAAGAGCCATGTAAACGGATCCCGCAACGCCTGCTTCAGACCGTCCCACAAGCCGCCGGCTTCCTCCTCGCGGCCGCCGTTAGACACAAGGATGCGGTACTGCGCCATCTGCCTCTCCTGCTCCGTCAGGAAGCGCGTGTTGGACGGCCACTCGGGCAGCAGGAAAAAGGCAGCGCAGGCCACGAAAATAGACGCAATGCCCTCAATGAGGAAAAACCACTGCCACGCACGCAACCCCGCGGTGCTCTCCATGTGCTGGAGGATGCCGGCCGCGAGCAAGCCCGAGATGATGTTGGAGACGGTGTTACCGGCGTGCCAGATGGCCATGCGCAGAGGACTTTCCTCTTTGGTGTACCAAGACGAGGTCACTGTCCTTTGTTAGCTTCGACCCGTCTTTCGTTTTTGGCAGTGGTACATGCGACGTACTCAGGGTCAACGCAGGGAAGAAGGGCGCTTCAGTCAAGCCAATAAAGAACCGACAGACGGCGAAACCGGCACCACTTTGAACACGTCAATTTACAGAAAGTCACAGAGAATCAAGGGGTATTCCACTTACCTTCTCATGGCAGGCATGCAAATCGTACCAAAACTCCACATCAACATGACGGCTGGCAAAAAGTACCGCGGATTCGTCCGCGTCAGCAGCATGATCCCCGGCAGCTGGCCAATTAAGTAGCCGACGTAAAACGTCGAGATGCCCGTGCTCCACAACGTGTCGCTGATGCCCAGGTCCTTTTGCAGCCCTGCCAGTCGAGCGTTGGACACATTGATGCGATCCAGGTAGCTGCCCAAAGGCGTTAGCCTCATGCCGCGCGGCACACTGTGCTCCGGTGAAACGTACTTCATGAGAAACATGACTGAGACAATCGGCATCATGCGCCAGTCAATCGTCTTGCGCACGCGCGCGTTGAGCTGCTCCATCTCGTCGGCGCCGAGGTGGCGCAGCGTCTCGAAGCGCGCTTGGATGTCCATGGGCGAGACGTAGGCGCCTGCGTCACCGCCCACGTCCTCTACGCAGTCGGCGCGTACCTTTTTCTTGCTTTCGGCGTCCATGTCGACGACCGAGGACGTCGAGTGGCGCGGCGCATCGCGACGCTGATGCTCTTCCACTTTCATGTCTTGGCGGATCAATGCTTGTTGGAGAAGACGTGGTTACTCGGATAGGAGCAAAATTTATTCTTTCTCGCATCGAATAAGACCTCCGTATATCCACTCGAAAGCTCTCATCAAGGTTAGGTCGGAACGGATCCAACAGCTATATACTCAAGTCCTTGTACACCGGTAGCAACCAGGTCATGAATAGGTGCAGCATTCTCGTGCCGCGAATATTGGCGGGCCGCCATCCCGCCATCCCATGCAGATGGGCTGCTGCAAGACCGAACGACGTTCTGCGGGTGCTGTAGGCACGCTTGATGCCATGGCGTCCAGGTTTCTGGGCCAAATATTGGTTTCTGGGCCAAATATTGGTTTCTGTGGCGGTTGGCTGCTGGCCAGAACTGGCTGTGGGCATGGGCTCCCGCGGGAGTGAACTTGCAAAAACCTCTGGGAAAGTGGGCGGGGGGGCAAGGCACTTTGTTCGTGCATTGTCGGCATGACTTTCTTGGGAGGAGGATGGGACGCCATTTATTGAGAACCTAGCGGAGTTGGGGTCCGCGGTAACTTGCTCGTGTGGTAGCATAAATGGTGTTGGTGGCAGGTAGTTGTTTCCCGGTGTAAGCGCGAACGGCGTGAGACAAGCATCGAGGAGTCTTAGATCGGGCGGGGTAATGGCGAGAATGGTGTCTTACATTTGCATGGGCGTCAAGAACCGCACACCTGCTTTGGATGCGGTCCCTTAATATTGTGCAAGATACTATCTTGTTTCAAGAATTCATCTCCCATCAGCCTTGATGCTCTGGTCTTGCCACACGTACACGACGACGCCGCAGCCCCCATCTCTTCCCGTGGGTTCCCGTGGGATCACCAACCCAGGAAAGAGAAATCGTCCAGACCAGATCCATTAAATCCAAAAATCGGATCTTCCAGACCGAAATGCTCGCTACCGCTTTGCTGTAGCCACGGCACAGCCATGACGGGAGCCGCCTCGGATGTGTGGCCCACAACTCCGGGGGCCATCGGAAGAGTAGACGCAGAGTATACATGACCCTGGAGTGCTGGGCTCGGGCTGAACCATTGCTGCGTGGGATATTGCTGTGGATATGCATGCGCTGCCGCGGGAGGGCCAGGCCTGCTGACCACGGGTTCGTTCTCGTGGAGAAAGCCTTGTATTATGCCGTCTACATCCACCATGTCGGAAGCGGGTGAGCTAGATGCCGCACTAGCAGATACGGGTGTATCTTGCAGCTCGAGATTGCGGGGCGTGCCGAGTTTTGAAGCGCAAGGTGATGGTGAATGTATCGGCCTCGATGAGGTTGGCTGCCGTCGACGACGCGGACCAGCTGCGTTATCGCTGCCACTGTTCTTCGGGACTTGGTTCATCTCCAGTGCGCCAACCAGAACGCTCTGCGCAACCACGACACGTAGCTTCTTCATCAGGCCCTCGACAATCAGATTGGCTTTGCGCACGGCCGAGTTCGTCTCCTGGTTTTCGCGAAACACAGCAAGGCAGGTGGCGAGGTTCGCGTGCGCGGAGGAGTCGTGGTTGCGCCGCGCGGCGATGCGGGTGTGGATCGTCGCAGCGACGTAGGTTGCGTACGAAATGAGATAGGGTGCTCGCCGGATCGAAAACGCGGCGTGGTAGGCGCGCAGGAGCTGGACTATGGCGGAAGCAGAGGCTGCGCACTTCATAAAGGAGTCGACGCTGATTTGGCGCGACGTGCTATAAAGATGACCGTCTGCTACAAAGGGCCTATGCAGAAGGATAACGAGAACGTGGTGCATCGCGCTGGTTCTTGTCAGCTCTGGTGTTGACTTGTAAAACAAGCGAGGTGAGAACGTACTGTAGACTGAAGACATGCGGTGGCGGAAATTGGCGCCTGTACAGCTTGTTCGAGTCGATGCGCAGATAGGACGGGAGAGCATCATCCCAATCTTTGAGCTTTTTCTGCAAGTTTATTCGCTCGCCAGCGAGTTTGGATGAGCTTTGGTCGGAACTGCGTTCAGTGTAGATGGTGCTTAGGATGTCGCTCATGACGATCGACAACCTGCATAGGCTTGCAAATGTCGACGTGCTGTATGCTGGTGATGGTTCAAAGTCGGACCTTGATTCCGAGTACGCAAATGGTTTCCATGGTTCAAGTTCTTCATAAACGTCTAGAAACTTTATAGGAACCAAGGCGTCTGATTCCTTTAGACTAACCGGTCGTCCTTGATAGAGGCTCTGGATTTTATCAACAACTAGGTGAAGGGGGATTCAGTATTCATGGTGTATGCATTGTGGATAGGTAGGATAGGCAAACTAGAAAGACGGACTTACCAAATGCTCCCCAAAATACTCTTCTTCGTATTTCCAAGTCCTCATCCGAGCATCTCTTCAGCTTGGACAAGTCGACATGCACACCCAAATCCGTAATCATCCGAAACGCCAGCCCAGAGTACAACCACGCAGCACTACGCTCATCGCCCAGCGCAAACAGCGAGTTTGTCATGACCAGCAGCGCCTGAATCGTGGTAATGTCGCTGCGGTCGAGCGCTTCGCCCAGCAGCGTCCTCACGCGCTGCCGAAACCGCCACCCCGCGGTGCGCACGTCGCCGGGGTCCCTGCGCACCTCGAGTCGCGGGCTAAACTTTGCCGCGCCAAAGTAGATGGCGTTGAGGAGCAGCTTGGAGAAGTAGGGGCCGTCGCAGGCCATGTCGCGCATAAAGGCCGGGCGGTACGTGACGAGGAACGAGTGGTGCTGGCGGTTCCAGTGGAGGGAGAGGAGATGCATGCCCAGGTCTGCGGGAATGCCGTCAAAGTCGAGCTTGCCGTTGCGGTAGTTGAGCTGCTCCATTTGGTCTTTTGGGACATGGTTAACGGCAAATCGCATTCGGTTATCGAGTTTTCAGCGCAAAAGGGGACTCACTTTGTCGGGCGGCTTCCGCGACGAGGCCGCGCTCTACCCAGTCATCCGGCATCCGCGGCTGCACGTCGCCCGCCGGCGGGCGTTCGGGGATGCCATCTTCAAAGAGCGCGCTTGTGCGTCCGTGGTAGCTGGATACGCCATTGGCAGAGACGACGATCCGACTGGGGCGCGGATCTGGTGACGGCTGCGCCACCATGGCAGCACCTTCAACGCTGCCTGCATCATCGTCCGCATCGCCACCACCACCCTCGCCATCGGTCTCCGTCCCCGCAGCTTCGATAGGCGCCTGTAGCTCCGCGCCTGTACCAACCTGCTCCGCGACACGCGTTCTGCCTTGCCGCTCGGTCCGTTTGCGCGGGGTTCGCCGGCTCCGGTCACGTACGTGGCGTGCCCGGCCGGCTTGTTTGGCCGGCTCGCTCACGGGCTCAAAAACGCATTTCTCGCCGTAGGTGGAGCAATTGGCACAAACAGGCCTCTGGTTGTTGCATTTGATCTTGGCGTCGTAAGTGCTGCGTCCGTGGGAGAGGCTTGAGGCGGGCAGATTACCTTGCGACGGCGACAGAATGAGCAGGCCGCGGAAGCACGGCTTTTGCGCCGTTGTTCCGTTCCCTTGGTTGCTCTTGCTGCATCTTGCGTGCTCATCACTGGAAACGGGAAGATTAATGGCGGGAAACTGTGTGATGAGTCGTGAGATGCCACGGGAGCTGTTGCAGGTCAAGTGGGCGAAGTGATGCATTTGGGCAAGTGAGGGCCGTGGGCTACGGCAGCCTATAGGTGAGTTGTCGCCAAATCCCAATTCACACCCAGTGTGTGGTTAGATATGAAATAATACGTACGTAAGTGGGCCGTTATGTTTTTTAGATACATATTATCCTTATAGCTAGTTAGCAGCTACTAAGCCAGCTACCTAGCTAGCCAGCCAGCCAGCCAGCAAGGAAGCCAACGAGGAAGCCAGCTAGCCAGCCAGCGAGGAAGCCAACAGAGCCAGCTAGCCAGCCAGCGAGGAAGCC